GACAGGTGACAAGGACAGGCAGCAGGGACGGGTGACAGGTGACAAGGACAGGCAGCAGGGACAGGTGACAAGGACAGGCAGCAGGGACGGGTGACAGGTGACAAGGACAGGCTGCCAGCCCACAGCGGTTCCGTGTCCCTCCTCCGTCCCCTCTATTCCCGTCCCGCGGAGGCGGCTCCGGTTCCGCTCTCAGGAAGCCACCGCCTCCTGCCAGGCCAGAAATGTCCCCAAAGTGTCACCACAGGCTGCTCCTCCCGGCCCAGCGTGGCACAGAAATTGCAGCTTCCCCTCCTGGAGCTCCATTCCCGAGCTTTTCCCGGCGGGAATTTGGGCAGGGCCCTTCCTGCCCCTCCCGGCCCCGGTTTGATGTGCCGGGCGCTGATGCGGGAAGGGATTTTCCCTTTGGATAACTCCTGGAATCGCCGAGAAAGGGAGCGGCTCCCCCGGGAAAATGAATTGTGGGGCCGGTTTTAATTCCTTGGATTATCCTCGTCCCCCTGGGAATTTTTTAGGGATTTTTTTAGGGATTTTTTTAGGGATTTTAAAAACCGGGTGTTTTTTAGGGATTCCCGTGTCCCGAAAATCAGCGGGGTGGGATTTAGGGGGTTAAAAATACGGGATTTGTCAGGATCTTCCCGTGGGATTGGCTTCCAGCCTGGAAATTCCTGGTCTTTCCAGGCTGGAGGAGAGAGCTCTCCTGCCCACAGAGAAACGGGATCGGCGGGATCGGGGATCCTTTGGGTGCTGGAGATCCCGGAAAATCCCTCTGTGCCATCAGTGGGGAGCCTCAGGGGGCTCAGGAATGTTCAGGGATATTCAGGAATGCTCAGGAATGTTCCGGAATGCTCAGGAATATTCAGGAATACTCAGAAATACTCAGGGATGTTAAGGAATGCTCCAGGATAATCAGGAATGTTCTGGAATGCTCAGGGATGCTCAGGAATGCTCAGGAATGCTCAGGGATGCTCAGGGATATTCAGGAATGTTCCGGAATGCTCAGGAATGCTCAGGAATGCTCAGGAATGCTCAGGAATGCTCAGGAATGCTCAGGAATGTTCCGGAATGCTCAGGAATGTTCCGGAATGCTCAGGAATGTTCCGGAATGCTCAGGAATGTTC